CAGATCACAGACTGTTAGTAATTAGTTATCTAAACATTATTTAATTTTGTAGGAATCTCTTTGGCGCTCTGGAAATTATTCTTCCAGGCTTCCGAAGTGATTCAGCTATACCTCTAAACATCCGACAACATTTGAACTTCCATCAGAAAATGAAAGTGAAGAAGCTGTTAGAGGCAGTGAATTTTGTTTTGAAATTCCTCTAAACTTACAAGATGAGACCTCCGGATTGGCTCTATGTATTGCTGTTGAAGCACCGACTCCTTATGATCCATATGTTCTCATCAACGGGGAAAAAGACTTTTATCCTAATTTGAAGTACAACATTGAGGCAACTCATGTGTGGTTCAAGCAGTGGCGGATCCAGGAAATAATGTTTGGGGGGTCAACAAGGATAGCGCGCGCAGCGCGAAATTTTTTTTTAACAAAAACGGCATGCATATCGTCATTTCATCGGGTCTTGGTAGGATAGCGTGATCAGCCTCTCGCCGATAGTTACCATACTAAAAGGTGCCTTCACTTTCCCTGACAACCAAAAATAAACATAAAATTGGGTTGGATGGTTCATAATAAACATAAAATTCTGATGTCAATATGGTGGTTCATAATAATATTTTTTAGAGATCATATTAATTTATGTTAAATATAAAGAGAAATAAAGTTGTTAAATATGTGGATGTGGAAAGGGCACACACATCATTACCATTAATTTATGTCAAATATGTGGATGTGGACACATGGGAACTTTGCAATCTGCACCAAGACTTAATGGTGACATCTTCAACTTGACACACGAACCGAACTGACAGTCTATGGCTTTTTACACAAAGCAAGCAATTTGATGCTAGCTGTACAAATTTGATTGGAGAGAAACTAAGAAAAAATAAATAAATAAGAAGAGTGTGTGGTCACGTGGTGTGAAAGGAAGAGAGAGAACGTCTTTGTCTTCGTCTTCCTCTTCCGCCAAAACGAACGAAAACTAGAAGAAACCCAGAAAAATGCAGCAGCTCCAAGAGGTCGCACCAGCAGCTTTAAGGGGTCGCACCAACAGCTCCAAGGGACCTCTAAGGTTATTTCCATGGCTTCCAAGGGGTCGTGCGACCCCATTGACCCCACTGTGGCTCCGCCTCTGGGTTCAAGTTAGTGGATTTAGACGAGCAGCAGAGAGATACATGTCAAGTTATATTTCAATTCCTGGAAGGCTCATACATTAAAAGTTGCAGGGTGCAGTCTATTGCTCAACCAAGACGAATTGCTTCCCTTGTCTTTAGGATCAACGAGTAGTCTTGAGAAGAGGCCTCGTCCAAGTGGACCCCCATATTATGAGTATGATCAGCTGCAGCAATGACCTTCCTTGTCTTCGGAGCTAGCGGATGATTATACATAGCGGAGTCATATTTATCTCAATGTTCATGTTGAGATTGAGGATCAGGGCCGGCCCTGAGGGTAGCCCGAGTAGATGCTCGTCTAGGGTCCCCAAATTTTATCTTTTTATTTTTTATATATAGGGAAATGTTATTGACATTTCAAAAATTTCATCCTACATTCTTTACAAGTGTATTTTTCTTTTCAAATATAGAAAGTTTGAAATGTAGAATGAGAATTTTGGAGTGTCAATCATAATTTTCTATATATATTTATATATTTAATTTTGGAATTTGAGTAAAACATCTAAATATGAAATTATAAATATTTTTTTGGAACTTGCCGTGCAGCGTTTTGGGTGGGGGGCCCCAAATTTAAAAAAAATGTATGTATATATATAAATATATTTTTAGAGTTTGAATTTAATAAAATATTTAAATATAAAATCACATAATTGTCTTCAAACTTGAGGTACAAAGTGTCTTGGGTGGGGTGAAACTTCAGCAACAATTCAACTTTTTTTTTTTGTTGAGAATTTAAGGCACAGCATACTGGTAGCAAGTCTGCGCCTGTGAATCGGTTCTTTCCCACTCCACTTATAGAGGTTAAGTACCCGATCAATGCTTCTCTTCTCTTCCGCTTCTTTTTCTATAATTTAATTTGTGACTTGTGAGTGTTGTGCTTGTACATATAATTAGGATTTTCAATTCTAGGGTTTATGATTTATTTATTTTAATGCATATTGTTTATGCTAAATTAGAGTATTCACTTGTCAAGTGTCTATATTGTAGTTATAAAGTGGATGTACTTAATAAAGTGATTAAATCCCTTCAAGAAGATAAATGGATTATGGGTGCACTTAACAAGGTTTGTTACTTTTGCTTCCTAACTAGTTTTGGTTCAAGATAATTCAAAGTTTCGATGTTGAATTTTGTTAACCATACCAGTTACAGTTGCCTTTGCAAAAAGAAGTTTCTCATAATTAAAGTTGATCAAATCGTATCTTCGATCAACTATGTCATAAGAAAGATTGAATGGGTTAGCTATTTTGTCAATTGAAAAAGAATTGGATGAAAAGTTAGATTATGTAAACTTAATTAATACATTTGGGTCTAAAAAAGCGAGACGTGTAATGTTGAAGTAATGTTTGCATATTTTTCTTCTTTAGATATGAATTATAATGATTTTTGATGTCGAAATGAATATTTTCATGTATTTAGCGAAATTTTTTCTTATACATATAAATGTACAATGAGTTGGGTGTCAAAGAACTTTAGGACCCTCACTCGAAGGCTGGCCTAGGGCCCCCAATTTCTCAGGGCCGGTTCTGTTGAGGATGAGCAGGAGGGTGGTTCGGTATGGGATCCCATACCGAAACCCTTGTCCCGATTCCCAAACCGAAATTTTCGGGAATCCCAATTTCAATACCGATCCCAAACCAAATTTTCGGGAATCCCAAAATAGTTTCGGGATTTCGGGACAAATCGGGAATCCCGAAATAGTTTTGAGCTTTTGGGCTTTTGGACAAAAAAAATGTACCCCATATTTTAATTTTCTCCAGTTACCTTCCTCGGCACCCAAAAACCCAGTTTTAAACCGGAAGTAAGAAACATATGGGAGATCAGTGTAAATTGCACGAAGCTGCACTCCCCAAGACCCACCATTGATAAATAGCTAGAGGAAAAATCTTAACTACAACCCAATTAGACACGAAGCTGCAATTTGGATTGTAAATTGCACGAATACCTTCAGCCCACCCATAGTTATCATTGAACAAAGCATTTACGCTAGAGCGATTAGCTAAATTGCAAAACTGAACTAAGGGAAATAACATCAATTATCTATTCTCCAATTAATAGATCATTGGATGATCCACAATTAAAACAATGTAGATTCAGAGGAAGAAAACAAAAAAGATTAAATATTATCTAAGAGGAACAAACACACATTATCTAAGAGGAACAATATATTATTAATGATTTACTATTATCTTAACGACACTTATTGTGTGTACTTATACCTTATATGCTATTTTACTTTTCCCCGAACAGAGCAGTTGTTCCTAACAGTAATAACTATAAAGACGAATGGTAACAATAACAACAATAGTATTTTCAAGAAAACAGAAGATGTGCATCCAACAATCCCGAATGGTAAAAGCAAACCATGACTCTTAAGTGTGCCTCTGTAACAATAGAAAATGAGATTTCGGAGGAAACATGGTAGCCTAAATAGTACCTCCTTACGCCTAGCCTCAATCAGAGCTGCTTCATTTTCTTTCTCAGGTTACGAAAACAGAGCTGCTAAACAATACATACCAAAAATTAAATCTTAAAACCATTTGAAAACTTCAAAGCAGAATCTACCAACAGAAATTAGATTTCAAAACACTAAATTAATTACCTAATTTGGGGTGAGAGTGAGACTCGGACTCGGTGTTGTGGTGAGAGAGATCGCGAGAGAAAGTCGCCCGAGAGAGAGATTGTGAGAGAGAGCGGTGGCTGTGTGGTGTGGTGGTGGGCCGGTGGTTGGCCGGAATTCGACATTGACAAATGAGGGCTCGGTGAGGGAGGAGGCGCATGGGCTTGGAGTTTGATGGATGGAATCAGGGAAATGGAACGGAACTGTGAAAGAAAGAAATGGGATCTGACCTAAAACAAATCAACGGCACGGATTAAATCTAAAACAATGAATGGTTCAAATAATTTTCTTATAATTAAAAAATAATATATATATATATTTTTTTTTTCGGTTCGGTATGGGAATACCAAAAAAATGAAATGCAAAACCGAATCCCATACCGAAATTTTCGGTTTGGTTTGGAATTTTTGGGATTTTTTTCCAGCCCTAAGCAGGAGCAACCGTCCACTTCAAAATCTCAGAGTGTTGGTGCAATCCCATTGTGTGAATAGTGGATTAATTTTATAAATGTGGGGGATAAGGCTGGAGCTCCATCATGTTTATCTGTTTTTGAACTTAGAGTGACTGTGATTTTGTGGTTTCTCTTTCAATCTCATGGGGAGACATGTGCTTGCATAGTTATTACTTAAAATGAACTTTAACGAAAAGTTTCCAGTACTGTTTATTTTAACGAAAAATCATATTTTAACATTAAAAAGTTCATCCTGGTACTATTCATTTTACTCTTTATTTTGCTTTTATCATTAAAACTCAAAATTTTCAAACCATTTTCATTAATTTTCTTTTATTTAAAAGGTTAAAATATATAATAATACCTGATAAAATTAGAAAATTGTTGATGTGACACTTGAAGTATATGTAAGTTTCCCACATAACAAACTTATACCCATGACTTCTTTTCTTGTTCTGTTTTTCCATTTCTTATTTTGTAGAATGCCCAAGCTGGTTCCCAAAAACCTATTTCAGTATTTTAATTGTATTGTAGAAAACTGACGTAGGTTCGAACCCTATTTGGGGAGTTTGGTTTCATTCCAAGTTCTGATTTAAGAGAACTCGGGACGGAGGGGATCACTTTGATTGTTAAGAGTAGAAAACCCATTCTTTTATGATACTTAAATTACCAATTACTGCTCTAAATTGTCTTAACAAAAACAAAATTGATTGAAGAAGATATAATTAGGTACAAGATTGAAATTACACATCAACTGCTTGAATTATCAAGCCCCAAATCCTGCTGTATATTTGACACCAGTAGGGGGTAACCACAGGTTGCCTTCAATAAATTGGGCCACAGAATAGTTCTTTACCTGAGTAGACTCATTAAAGACTCGGTAGCCAGGCCACTTGACCCGGCTTCCGAGGCCCGCTCCAGGCCCATAATTCATGTACTCACCATAAGACAACGTGCTCAAAGCAAAATCCGCGTTCCATTCAAGCCACCCCTCAGGCCTTATGGCATTGCTCAAGAAAGAATGCATTATTACAGTTCTTGAATAAAGCTTCCAAGGCCTACCAAGGTAAGTAAAAGTGGAGTTGACCAAGGGTAACAAGTCTGCATCTGCAGTTATGTTGCAGAACTGGATTGAGAATCCGGTCGGCTCATTCGGGTCTTTCCGGCCTTGGGATGTGACGCTGTTCTTCTGATTCGGTAGGCCTTTTTTGGCTAAGATCCGGCAGTTTTGGAACACAACAGTTGCATCACCAAAAATGAAGTCAACTGTACCACTTATTTTGCAATATTTATATATTTCTTCTTTCATAATATTTTGCATGTTATTAATGAATATGTTAGCAATATTATCGATCCCATTAATATTATCACCCCACTTGCACGTTGGCTTAATAAATATTATCTCATAAGTTTCTTTCTGATGTAGTTTACTAATTAAGTTTAACGACCAATGTGATCAATGCCTTTGTATCATCGTTTTCAGTTCAGTTCCATACATATAATTGTCAGTCATAAACTTGACTTGTGTTAAATCCTACGTCTTAAATTCTTTTTTTTTTTTTAGCTAACAGGAAAATAAGAGGCCTAGAATAAGATCTTGGTCGTTGTTTATCTCATTTCTTATGAAAAGTAGAGTTGACATATAAGGATTCTGCTTTTCTATTATGTGTCATTGAGTGATACAAGTTGTGGACGACCTGAATTAAACCAACCTCTTAAATTAAACCAAACCCGATATATAGGTTAACTACTTAAATTTTAACTATTAAGAATTGTATGTATTAGTATATATGTGAAATCTCATCATCGGAATTTCACCATTTATTACGTATTTAGTAATTTAAATTCGTATTTTGCGATTACATTATCTTTATTAGTTAATTTTAATTCCACTAATTATAAGTTTAGTAATTGATTAGTTATCGAGTTGGAAGTTTCATAATCAATCTTTATTTTTCGTGGACATTTCGAAGTTACAACTAGTGTTTTTAAATAGATCTTGAACCCACAAACGTATAAGCGAAAACCGTTTGCGAGTCTGAATTATAACGGTATAGTTACGAACGTTTGAAGTGATGAAAATATAGATTGTGGGAATTATTCTAATTTCCACTTATGAGTAAAAGGCCCAAACTTTTTTTTTTGGATTAATGAACCGGCTACTATAAGTGGAATTGGGCATTTTAGGTGGTGGAAAAAGATTAGTCAGCAGCCTTAAAAGGGGACACATCAGATTTTTTTAAAGGAGGAGAAAGGACCCTAGGAAGGAAGGACCTAAGAGGAAAAAGAGGATTTTCCCCCTCCATTTCCGTCGACCCATTTTCACGCACCCACCGGAGTGGTTTCCGACCATTTCCACCATTTTTTTCAAGAGAAATTCAACCATCCATCACTTGCAACCTCTTCCACCATCTCCCATCTTTCATCTCCACCCAAATTTGAGGGTTTTTAGGTCCAAAATAGTGTAAAACAGTGCGGGTGACCCAAGGAGTTTTGACGGCGATTCCGCCATTCTAGCTAGTCTCACCACCAAACACCACCCTTAATCAACTCTCCTTGGACCCAGAACAAGACCCAATCAGTTGTAGGAGTGTTAGAACACCAAGGAAGCCGAATTGAAGAACACCCACCTTAGGGTTTCGTTGGGTGTGAGCCAATTGGAAGGCCTTCCTGGCCAAATTGGACTCGACCACAGGTATAAAGTTTACTCTACTTGTTAAAATCTTCATTCTTGTAAAATTTGAGAATTTTTGGAAAAAGTCGAATTTTCCGATATGTGACATTCGATTTATGAAAATGTTGTTGATTGTATATTTTATCGATAAGGTGTGCCACTTGATTATTCTAATAATTGACAATCTTATCATCGAATTGAGACAAGATTTTAATATGCTATTGTAGATATTGTTTAAGGACCTTAGGGACTTATAAGTGAGAATCTAGTGATTGGATTTTATGAAGCAAATGACGTAAGATCATGCACTCTATATTAGAATGACGGTTCGATTCCTCATTAAATGTTGTTGTGGGAAACATATGAGAATTTTTAAGTATGTGAATTATCGAAGGAAATCTAAATGTGGACTTGTGCTTTGTTAGGCGGTGATAGAACGTGATGCCTTAACTATCGTGCTAGGGTACATTAGCACGGACTCCAGATGAGTGACTTTAATATATGTGATATTGGTAATTACCAGTTGTCATAATTACGATCATGTGTCGATATGAATTGGTTTTATGAATATGTTCTATTGAATTGTTATTCCAATACTTCGACATCAATGTTGAGATTAATGTGAGGACTAGTAATGACTGTTAACCATTATGTTGGGGATTTGTTGCTTTGAGATTGTTTCATCTTTCGCTTTGATGATTGGTTATAAATTTAGTAATTGTGCCTAATCTCCCTTTGTTGAGTTTTTGTAAATTAAGTAGTATGTGCTTGTCTCATTTCTTTTACCGCCGTACATTCTGATTGTTGGTCTTCTGCGATTCCGTTGAGTGATGGTCCGGAATCATATCCACTCGGATTTCGTAGAGAGATGGTCCGGAATCCCTTCTATTCCGCGATTCCGTTAAGTGATGTTCCGGAATCGTATCTAAATTGGGTTTCATTTAGTTGTTGTTACATATTGTATTTAGCGATTCCGTTGAGTGAGGGTCCGGAATCGTATCCACTTGGATTCCGTTGAGAGATGGTCCGGAATCCCTCCTATTTCACGATTTCGTTGAATGGTGGTCCGGGATCGTACTCACCTTGGGATTTATTGAATTTGAATTGTGATGACTTCAAAGGTGTAGGCTTCGGCCAAACTGTATCGCTCTAATTCTACTTTTCATTGTGTTGCATGAGAAGATGGTTGTGAGATGTTATGATTGGTTTCAGACGAACCGTTGGATGTCTGGGTGACTCCTTCGGGGTTTACAAAAGTTGGTATTGATTTCTTATGAATGATTTATATTCAAGATGTGTAAATTGTGTTTGATGGTTGGCATTAGCATTATTATCACATACTTGATATTATTGTCACTCTCTTAAGCTTCGCAACTTATCCAGGTTGTTGTTTGCCTGGTGTACCATTCCAATGGTGTAGGCACCGATCGTACAGGTGATAGGTTTGATTAGATTCCAAGAAGTTTGTAGGTGGGGGTAGCAGTGCAGTGATCAGAGACTTGGAGCGTTAGGTTACCCTTGTTTCACTTTTGTACTTTATCTTTTGGGACTTTCTTTTGAGCACCTCATACTTGTTCTTAGTAAAGCAAAGATTATGCTTCTTTTTGGGATGTACATATTTGTAAATATTTAGTGGAGAACTTAGCCACCTTCACATTATTTTGGGTTATCAGTTAAAGTATTTCATTCCGTAACTTATGCTGTATTCAACGAACATTATTTTCCTTGTCACGTGTCGATTTTCGACGTATGTTGAGATCGGGATGTGACAATATATGCACATACTAGTTTTATCATGTCTCTATAATTGAATTTGGGACCAAAAAGATGGTGAAGGGCTATTCATACGGTCTGGCAAAGAGATTTCATGCACAATGTAGGCAACCATGTTCCTTACAACTTTCATGTGCAATAAACTGTTGGATTCATCTTTTCAACATAATCTATAGCTCCTTCTTTTTCTTAAAATAGGCTAATAAATTTATGGAAGAGGAACAATGGTGGTAGGGTGGGGACCACAGCACAGCTGAGTTGCTAAATTAATCGACATTGGGATCATTTGAATGTTTTTAGAGTAAATCTTTGCTTTCTCTTTTGTTTGACCGTCCTTGGGGTGGAATTGTAATGCCTTTCAAGTAGGGGTGGGCAAACGGGTACAGGAACCGCGGGTCGGGGCGAGTAATGGCAGTTTGGGACGGGTACGGACCGGTTCTTAATTTCGTAAAAACAGATCGGGCCGGGTAATTGAAGTATTCGATTCGGGCCGGTTCCAAAAGTGTAGGAACCGTGGGTACCCGGACCGACCCGTGTGTGTTACAATGGATGGACGAGATTTAAGATACATCTCTCCATCCAATCTCAACTGTCAATTTCAACCTAGCTAATTCCACGTCTCGAGTTCAAGAAGCACCCTCCTTTCAGACTTCAGTCTCTCAGATTCTCAGACTCTCCCTCGACTCCCTCTCCCTATCCCTTCCTTCCCTCGACTTCAATTCTCATACTCTCTCAGTCTCACTCACAAACTTACTCCCACAGTGCTCACCGCCGTCGGGACCAACACAACAGCACCATCAACTCCGCCGTCGCGACCACTATTACTCACCCTATCACCACCGTCGAGCTCCAACTCTCAGACTCTCACAGCGCTGTCGCAACCAACACAACGGCACCACCTCTGCCGTCGCGACCACCATCATCACCCCATCACCACCGCCGTCACGACCACCTGCTACTACTAAATTTTAGGTAATTTTGAATTAGGTTTTATTATTAATGTGAATTTCTGGTGTAGGGATTTTAGGGATTTTAGGGATTTGCCGAAGCAAGAAGAGGTTGCTGTGGAACAGGAATCGTAGAGAGAGACAACATCACTGCTGTGCAATCCAAACTCAGTCGGAACTTGTTCCAACGCGACTCAATACGTGTTTTGGGATAACGTCCATCAATCTCAAGCCACTAACTAACCATTGGATAAGAGGATTATACGGATCTTTCTGTATCTCAAAAAATGTTTAAAGACTGCTACTACTTGCTTTTAAATACTGCTATGTTCCGATTGATTTAGCTAAACAATTTTAACGGAAGAGATTTTATACAAAACCAATTAGATTTAGCTAAACATTTAGCAAATCTTTTGCAGTGTTTTGCAAATTTACCAAAAGACAGCACCAAAATGCTTTGGTTAGGCGAAGCTACTTATGGGTATTTAGTTTGGTTTTGGCAGTGTTCATCATACGGTTTTTTATTTACCCTTCTTTTGTTCTTTTATGTATGAAGATGATCTGTTTATAATTATAACACAAGGATCGTACTTAAGAAGTTAAATTATGTTTTCCTTTTTGTCTTAACTGATTTTGTTTTCCCTTTTTTTCCTTGTAGGTACTCCATGGACTGAAGAGGAACATACCAACTACATAGCTTGGTAAAGGTGAGTGGCTGACGATATAGGTGCCAGCATTGGTCTTCTTTAAATTAAAAATAAGTGATTTAGTTTTGACATACATTCACCATGGGGAAAAACACAAGAAATGTTATCTCTTTTTTCCTTTTTTCTTCCATGAAATAGATTGGTATCTGGCTGTCGTGTCTGTAGACTCTGTATTGCTGTTTTCAGATTGCATTTCTAAGTCTTTAGCTATTTGCATTTTCTAAGGCTCTTGGTGGTTTTAACAAAGTTGCCAAGTTATATTTGTTATTCATGGTTTTGGTTAATTCCATATGTCACTGATCCTCTCGTATATTGTCTTTAAAATTTGTATATGTCATAGTGTGGGAAGTTGAGAGTTCCAGTCACCTTGTTAGATCCCTGTTAGTACAAAAAATAAACCTTTGAAGTAAACAACTATCTATTCAACTTCACTAATCTAAATAGTTCTCTCATTGTAACACTTTATTGGATGTGCTCCTAGATTCCGTCATCAGCATTCATCTGTTTTTGGATTTACAGGATGCACTAGCTTACCCAAGTCATTGCACTTCATGTTATGTTAATGATGTGTTATTCACAAATTTGAATCCTTATGAAAACCTGTCAGATAATTTGACATTTTTTCACTGTTTCTAATAAAATCTGTTTATGTTATGCAGGACACTCTGTGTGCAGTTTTTTCAAACTGCAATTTATGCAATATGTGCAATCTGTGCAGCAAACATTTTTAAACAGCAAAAAAAAAAAAGATCCGTGTACTCGGACCGAACCAACCCGTTTCAACCGGGCCGGGTAAGGTCCGGTTCCTATTTTCAGAATTGTAATGCCCGGCCCGGCCCATCCTATCTCCTTTAATTTAGGGTCCGGTCCAATCCCTTCAAAAATTGGCCCGCCCGGCCCGTGCCCAGCCCTACTCTCAAGTTAAGAAGTCATCAAGCTGAAATTTCTGTGCATTCTACTATTCCTTTCCTCTCTCATCTCTTTTTTTTTTAGGTAACAAGAAAATATAAGGTCTTGGTTGTTGTTTATCTTATTTCTTATGAGAAATAGAGGGGATCTATAAAGAATTCTATTTTCCTACTACGTATTATTGAATAATACGAGTTGTGGAAGGCCTAAATTAAACCAATCTCTTGCATAATATTAACGGGTTATAATAAAAAATGAAAAAGAGTCTGTGTCATTAGGAAAACTTGATATAAGTCCAATTTTTTTAGCCAATAGTAGAAATAGTCCAATTTATTAAAATAAGTCCAATTCCTTAAATTTAACTATTTTATTATCAATAATTATCTTTTGAGAAAATTAGAATTAGAAGCCTCATTTTAGACTTTTGTAGACTAAACATTTATGCTTTTTGAGTTTTTGATTAAGCTTTTGAAACATTTGATTAAGATACTTAGACTTGAACTACTTCATATTAATTGAAATTAATTTACATTTAAATATCTGCTATATATTTTAAATAATTTCAACTATATTTAAGTCTAAAAATTTAAACTTTTCAAATCTAAATGTACATCCACGCCAAATGGAAACATACCAATATTAAATGAAAATGTACCAACATCAAACAAAAACATAACAACCCTGAATTAAAATGTACCCAATTATAAACTATCTTAAAATGAATATTCATCTTTTTGGAATGTTTAAAAATATGTATGATTTATACACAATGCTCTAGATAGTCTTGTTTTTTTGTAGATAAGTTCCTGGAACAACTTTAAGTTGATTAGAGATAAATCCTTATTATTGTAGATAATGCTAAATAATAATGATAAATCATATAATTTTGAATTAACAAAAAGGTTATTATATGTTGATTAATGACTCTTTCTAGAAAAATAAAATTAATTAAAGTAATTTAAACTTTTACATTGTTAACGACTATTTCTATAAAAAAAATTAATTAAAGTAATTCCTCATTATTAGGACAAAAAGTAATAAAATTTATGTTTTGAGAACAAACATACCAAAAATTCAAATGTACCAAAAACTAAATGTACCAAAAATTTAAATGTACCAAGAAGCCAAATGGATCAAAAATTCAAATGTACCAAGTAACTAAATGTACCATTATAATCAAACGTACCGATATAATCAAACGTACCTAACAACGAGTTTTGTTACATTCTATTTAATTTACTAAAATAAATATTTTAATAAAAAATAATAAAAAAATCTTAAATCATCATAATAAGAGATGCATAAAAATAGGAGGAAAAAAGGGAATGCTAACGTGAATAGACTTCTAATGAAATAAAATTAAAGTATCAAAATTGTAAGGAAAATGTTTAATCAAATTTGCAAAAGGAATAGATGTTTAGTCTATGACATTTAAAAACGAGGTGTCTAATTCAAAACGTCCCTTATCTTTTCAATGATAAGATTTATTATAAAAATCAAATTTATTCCTAATTATCTCTTTGATTATTTATTTTATTTATTTATTGCTCTTTCTTGTTCTTCCTCCTGCTTTAAACTCCATTTATAGATTTTATTTTTAATTTTTATAATCAACCTATATCATAGGTTAATTATATTTATCTACCTATATGACATATTCTTTTTTATAATCAACTAAGATTAATGTGTCTTGCTTGTAGGTATATTATGTTTTTTCTACCTTTTAGTTAGGTTTCATATCTTGCTTTATATGTATGATATACATTCATATATTTGTTACTAGAGTTAGGGTATAATGTTTTGCAGATGATTTATGTCAGTGTATTAGTTTTTTTGTTATAAGATATTAATTATATTTTTTGGAGTTGGAAAATGCATAATATTAGAATATTTTAATTGATTTTTAATATTTTTAGAAAATATAAAATGAGCATAAAAAATTAAATATATGTAATTAAGTAACTAAACTCACTCCTAAAAATCATCTATATTTTTTAATCTGGATCTAAAAGCAAAACAATACGCACTATGGAAGCCAAACCCGATATATAGGTTAACTATAGGGCTAGTCATACGGCCCGGCAAAGAGATTACATCGGAGATAACGAAGGATCGTACAACATTTGGCCTTTGGAAGTGTCGGAATTATTAATTCATTCTTGGTGAAGAAAGGCCACAGGTGATTACAATATCAATGAATAATAGAATACCGACAAACCATAGTGAGTAGATTGCTGATCAAACATAAAAAATATAAAATAAAATAAAAAAGTTCTTTTTTTTGTTTTTGTCAAAAAAAAAAGATAAAAAAAAGGTTCAACGTATATAACAAAACAAATGGTATAAGACACATAGTTCATTAAATTTAAAGACCGCCACTAGTTAGTGGAGAGAAACTTATCTACACTGAAGATACTTCTCATGGTATATCTATTTTATTAGTAACGATTTTATATATTTCAGTCGGCCGTGATTATTTTAAAATACCATTAGGGTGGATTGTTACATCGAAGGTGGTAAGTAATAGTTTCAACGAAACTTCCTCTCCAATAAAATAATCGCATTGATATTGTCACATTAATAGGTAGGAAAATGCTTTCGTATGTAGGATGAAAAGCGTGAAGCCTGATATAAACAAGAGAGAGTCCTTGACGAACCCAGTCTCTTCAGTTTATTTCTGGTTTGAATTCTCCTATGACCAATCAACTTGTCTCTTCTTCTTCCTTGCCTCCTTCATGGACATATGATGTGTTTTTGAGTTTTAGAGGTGAGGATACACGCTTTACTTTTACAGATCATTTATACCAGGCCCTAGACCGTAGTGGAATCAACACCTTCATAGATCGCCATCTTACAAGAGGAGAAGAAATATCACCAACTCTTCTCGAAGCAATTGAAAAGTCGAGAATTTCGATCATTGTATTCTCTGAAAACTACGCATCCTCAAGATGGTGCTTGGATGAGCTTGTACATATCCTTGAATGTAGAAAATCAAGGCAGCAAATAGTTTGGCCAGTTTTTTACAAGGTGAATCCGTCTCATGTACGAAATCAAACGAGTAGTTTCGGTGACAGATTTACAGGACTTGAGCGCAAATACAAGGACAAGGAGAAGATCCTCTTATGGAGTAGAGCTCTTCGAGAAGCAGCAAATTTGTCTGGACGTACTGTCAAAGAGGGAGAGTACGTACATTTCTTCTTTCCTTATAGTTTGTTTAATTATATGATTCTGTATTTCAGGTTTCACTTTCTACTACAATAATACCTATTTAGTTGCAAGTTTCATTTTTAGTTTTTAAAATCCCTACCAAGCGGCACATGCTTGACTGCAGCTATTGTGTAAGAGGAGTGCTAGGAACCAAACCATCGCTACCACTCATTCTATCAATTTCCGCCTTTGTTGAATGGTAAGTCTATAATTGTATATGAAGAAGATAACTATTACTTTATGCTAAACCTACATGACCATCTTCTTCATATATAAATATAGACTTGTCATTCACCAAAGCTAGCAAACGAGGGAGTGAGTGTAATCCTCTCTATCTTTTTTTTTTCAAAGAAATATAGCAAAAAAGTGGATTGACTAAATATGTCAATATTTTATTTACATGGGTAGGTACGAAGCTACATTTATCAATAAGATTGTTAAGGAGATCTTAGTCGACGTACTACAACACACATATTTGAATGTGGCCAAATACCCAGTTGGAATACGGTCTTGTGCAAAGGAGGTGGAGAAGATTTTAGGTGTTGGTGCAAATGGTCGTTGTGTGGTTGGGATTTGGGGGACATCTGGAATTGGCAAGACAACAATTGCAAAAGCTGTTTATAATGCAATTGCTCTTAAGTTTCAAGGTAGTTGTTTCCTGGCAGATGTTAGAGAAACATCAATACAACATGGAGGATTACTCCAACTACAAAAGACTCTTCTATCTAAAATTCTATGCGATACAGAGTTGAAAGTTGTTGACGTTCATGAAGGAATCAGCCTTATGAAGAAACTGTTGAGGAAAAAGAAGATTCTCTTAATTCTTGATGATGTGGATGAATTGAAGCAGTTAAACAACTGGGTTGAAGTCGATTGGTTTGGTGAGGGTAGCAGAGTGATCATAACCACAAAAGATAGAGGATTGCTGGAATCTTATGGAGTCAAGTTGATATACAAGGTCCAAAAGTTAGAAGACGACAAGGGTCTTGAGCTTCTAAGTTTGAATGCCTTCGGAAGAAAAGAACCTCCAGTTGATTATTTGAGCCTCGCACGACATGCAATAGCCTATGCTCAAGGCCTTCCATTAGCTCTTAATCTTATAGGTTCTCATTTGCGTAATAAAAGTATAGATCGTTGGCAAGCTATATTGGATAGTTACGATTCTTACGAAGGAGAACCTTATAGAGGTATTCAAAGAATACTTCGAAAAAGTTATGATGCCTGGGATTATGTAGTGCAACAAGTTTTCCTAGACATTGCATGTTTCTTCAAGGGTGAAGATAAAGACTATGTGTTAGAAATATTAAGAAGTTCGAAGCTCAACGTACCTCAAGATTGTATGGAAGTACTTGTTGAAAATGCCATTATAACTATTGATAAAGATAATAGGATTTTGATGCATGACTTGCTAGAAAAAATGGGTAAGCATATAGTTTATGAAGAATCTCCCACTGAACCAGGAAAACGTAGTAGGTTGTGGTTTCATGAAGATGTGTACAATGTTCTAACTGAAAATCGAGTAAGTAGAATATATGTTCTTACATTTGTTTTGTCATGATCTGGTTTGAAGTGAAAGCTTTTTAAATTACATGTTTTGTTAACAATATGTCATTTTTTTCATCTTAGGGAACAAAGAAAATTAGAGGCATTGTGGTGAAGCTGCCTGAACCAGATGTGATACCCTTGAATGCAGAAAGCTTCTTGCAGATGGTAAATCTTGAAATTTTTATAAATCGTAATGCACGCTTTTCTGGACACGTTGATTATTTGTCCAACGATTTGAGGTGGATTGAATTGGACGGACGTGATTTTCAATATTTGGGATTCAATATTCCTCAAAAGCATACGGTTGTGTTCAATCTGCCGTCCAATTATAATCCAAAACATCTTGTCACGTTTGATATTCCAAACAGTGGCATCAGACAATTGAAAGGGTTTAAGGTATGTATATTTATTTTAAAGTAATTTGGACAATTGCTAATTTAAATAATATTTTATTTTCGGAAAAGAGAGAATTTTCAAAATTTTCATTATAAATGTATTCAAAACATGTGACTTTTTGTTTTTTTGTTTTTTTTTTTTACAGAATTTGGCAAAGCTTACATCAATCAATTTAAGTTATTGCGAATTCCTAGAAAAAATCCCCGACTTCTTCGGATGCCCAAACATAAAGGACTTGAATCTAAGTTTTTGTAGAAGTTTGGTTGAGGTTGATGATTCTGTTGGATTCCTCGATAAACTTGAAAATTTGAATCTTCGTGGGTGCTATAAGCTTACGAGGTTTGCAACAAGACTTGAATTGAGATCCCTTCAAAAGTTTTCTCTTTGTGGCTGCACAAGGCTTGAGAATTTCCCAGAAATAGAGAAGGACAAGATGGTATCCCTATCGTCTTTGGACATAGGAGGAAGTGGCATAAGAGAATTGCCTTCCCCAATTGCATATCTTACTGGGCTTCGAAGATTGACAGCGCGTGGTTGTGAGAACCTTACAAATATATCAGTACATCATATTGTTGGGTTGCAGCATCTCCAAGATGTTGATTTCGGTGAACGCCCAAAACTCGTGATCGAATCTCAGCTGCTTTCAACTAACTTAAATGACAACGGTATCATATTAGCCCTTCCAGAGCTAGAGTATCTTTGTCTTGATGGATGCAATTTATCAGAAAGTGATTTTCTTGTGCCTCTTGATTGCTGGTCTACATTAAGCAATCTTGATCTGTCAAGAAACAATTTTGTTAGTCTTCCAGATTGCATTAGCAAATTTCTCAACTTGCATACACTTAGATTGAGCGGGTGCAAGAGGCTTCGGGAAATTCCACAAGTCCTTCCGCCAGATCTAATTTACTTATATCTGGATGATTGCACATCATTGGAGAAAATTTCAAAACTACCCTGGATGCTTGAGTGTCTTGACTTGACTAATTGCTTTAGTCTAAGTGACGATGAGATGGAAAAGTTGGAAAACAATTTGTTGAATCAGGTTCCTCCCTCCTCTTAATTTCTCTTGAAATTTAGAATTATATTTTGTTGATTCTTGAGAGAGATTAGATCACAATGGTTGCTAATTAGTTATCTACATATTATTCACTATTCCAGGATTCCCTTCGGCGCTTTCGACTCCAAGTTTTTTATCCAGGCAATGAAGTTCCAAAGTGGTTCAGCTATACTTTTAAACATCCAAAATTAGTAGGAGGCAGTGAATTTAGTTTTGAAATTCCTCTAAATTTACAAGTGGGGGAGAAGTTATTAGGATTTGCTCTATCTTTTGTTCTTGAAAAATCGACTTATGGTCCTAGGTTTAACTATATTCTCATCAACGGAATAGAAAAGGTTGAACCTCCTATAACGGATGCGAATTTAGACGAGCAGCAGCGGTGGCGGTTGGAAGATATTTGTCAAGATGCATTCAGAATAGAAAGTGTTGATCGTAATATAATGAGTGCGGAACCCATAGAGGCAACTCATGTGTGGCTTGGGTTAGTGAATTTGGTCGAGCAGAAGCGGCAGTGGCTGGGAGATACTTGTCAAGTTATATTCTATTTCAGTGAAAGCGTATGCATTAAAAGCTGCGGGGTGCACCTCCTAGCCTCACATATCGTGGATGATGAATGTGATGATCTGTTAAAATGGTTTTCCTCAGATATCGTTGATGATGAATACGATGAGTAACAACAGCGGCTTTCCTTATCTTCGGAGCCAGCGGATTATCATTCAAAACACAGGCAGATTGATCTCAATGTTCCTATTGGTATTGAGGAGGAGGAGGAGGAGGAGGATGAGCAAGAGCAACCGTCCAGTTCAGATGATCCACAATTTCTGATTTATTAGGAGTTCGGGTACGCATTCGTTTGTTCATTTCCATTTTCCTAATCTTTTAAATAAGGCGCCGTCGGATTACAATTTCAGTTTACAGTTTCCATTTATTTGAAAACTGAAAACCGATAACTCATTTGGCAATTACTCCTTGTTCTACCGTCTTGCATTTGTCCTTCTGTTTTCTTGATATGTAGACGTTTTTCTTCTTCATAACTTCTTGTCCTACTGTCAAACGTATGCATTTTCGCACATATAGTAAATCAATGCAGTAAATTGTCTAATTTGAACCTTCTGCATATATATTCTGGCTAGTTGTTGCTTTTACACTGATCCGGGTTATAAAAAGCACGCTCTCTCTAAGAGAATGAAGATGACCTCCCCAACTCGATATATTATGTCCGGAAGGATACCCTTACCTATTGTGTTACATATACATTTATATCTACACATTCTGCTTTTAAATTCTCACAATTTGTATGTCTTTATCTTTAGCGGTCATAAACAGACCGCCTTAACTACAACAAAAACTTGGCAGCAAATTGATGACATTAATGTTACTCACTACAAAAACAAAAATAATGCTTTTAGTCGCAACAAGGTCGTGACTAAAAGTATAAAATATTGTAACTGAAAAATTTAGTCATGAAAAAGTTATGTATCTCACTCACTAACAGGGTTGTGACCACACACCATGTGAGTAATTGATTTAGTCCACAAATAAAAAACAAATTGGTACACTAAAAATGTATTAGTCACAACATACCTTTGTTACTAGAAAATTTAACCAATTCCTACATTTTAGTTACAACATTGCAATCATTTGTGTCACCCCTTATAATGACTAATAGACATTTAGTCACAACCACTTTTCGCGACCAAAAAAAAAATCTTAGTAGTAACAGTCTTCTATAACTAAAACTCTATTATCAACAGCTAGCGACACGTGTGTTGTTCAAGTTAGTGGATTTAGACGAGCAGCAGGGAGATACATGTCAAGTTATATGTCAATTCCTGGAAGGCTCACACATTAAAAGTTGCAGGGTGCACAGTCTATTGCTCTACCAAGACGAACTGCTTCCTTGTCTTTAGGATCAACGAGTAGTCTTGAGAAGGGGCCTCGTCCAAGTGGACCCCCAGATTATGATTATAATCAGCTACAGCAATGGCCTTCCTTGTCTTCGGAGCTAGCGGATGATTATACAAAGCGAAGGCATATTGATCTCAATGTTCCTGTTGAGATTGAGGATATGCAGGAGCAACCGTCCACTTCAAAATCTCAGAGTGTTGGTGCAATCCCATTTTGTGTATAGTGGATTAATTTTATAAATGTGGGGGATAAGGCTGGAGTTGTTGAGGAAAAAACTTAGAGTACACAACTCTAACATAAGTGTTGGAGAGACAACACAAGTAAACAAATTACTTGTATTACACACACAAACTCTCAAATACACTTTAGAAGCAATGACACTCACTCACTTTCTAGAGACAAACTCTAGACCACTCACACTCCTCACAAAGACTATTCTTACTTCTTTTTGATTGGTTATTTCTTGATTGATTCAAATGGTGTGGATGCCTTCTCCTTTTATAGGCATGGATGGAACCTTGAAGAAGCATGGAAACATCATGCTAGAGTTATCTAGATAATTCTACTAACTTCCCAAGCTAGAATTATCTACACTAATCTTGCATGTTGGTGGAAACCTCACCATTCTTCTAGAATCTTCCACCAACTTAAGGAACAACCTTCTTTGCTAGAGTTTTCTAGCATATTCCCATTATAGAATCTTCTAGAGAAAACCATGCATGTTTGAACTAGACCAATCTAGTTCCTTTGTACCGATTGATCTTAATGGGCTGGTGTTGATCTTTAACAGGAGCTCCATCATGTTTATCTGTTTTTGAACTTGGAGCGACTGTGATTTTGTGGTGTCTCTTTCAATCTCATGGGGAGACATGTGCTTGCATAGTTTACGTTCTGTTCTGTGATTTGTTTTTCCGGTACAGAATCTGTGTGCATACCAATTATATGAGCAATCTGGGATGTGTAAGAATGGTCCTGCTAAGGCTTCAAGAGTTGCAGGATCCACCTAATCCGTAACCAAGACGAATTGGTTTCCTTGCCTTTGGGATCAGCCAGTAATGTTGGAAAGAGACCTCGTTTGCCTTAAACCTCGGATATCGTCCATCGTGATCGTCAAGAGCGATGTCTTCCCTTGTACTCGGAGCCAGCGGATCATCCAAACTGGAGGCATATTGATAAAGAAGTGACTTCTATACTCACATTTTCTGATTAAACTCTCGCCCCTCATTTTTCTGATCTTCAGATTGAATAAACCAACAACAACAACAAAGCCTTTTCCCACTAAGTGGGGTCGGCTATATGAATCCTAGAACGCCATTGCGCTCGGTTTTGTGTTATGTCCTCCGTTAGATCCAAGTACTCAAGTCTTTTCTTAGGGTCTCTTCCAAAGTTTTCCTAGGTCTTCCTCTACCCCTTCGGCCCTGAACCTCTGTCCCGTAGTCACATTTTCGAACCGGAACGTCAGTAGGCCTTCTTTGCACATGTCCAAACCACCGGAACCGATTTTCTCTCATATTTCCTTCAATTTTGGCTACTCCTACTTTACCTCGGATATCCTCATTCCCAATCTTATCCTTTCTCGTGTGCCCATACATCCCACGAAGCATCCTCATCTCCGCTACACCCATTTTGTGTACGTGTTGATGCTTCACCGCCCAACATTCTGTGCCATACAACATCGCTGGCCTTATTGCCGTCCTATAAAATTTTCCCTTGAGCTTCAGTGGCCTACGACGATCACACAACACGCTGGATACACTCTTACACTTCATCCATCCAACTTGTATTCTATGGTTGAGATATCCATCTAATTCTTCGTTCTCTTGCAAGATAGATCCTAGGTAGCGAAAACGGTCACTTTTTGTGATATTCGCTAGATTGCTCCGGTCATTAGTGTGGATAAGTATATAAATGGATAGAGATAGGAAAGCAAACACAAGATGTATGTGGTTCATCCAGATTGGCTACGTCCACGGAATAGAGGAGTTCTCATTAATTGTGAAGGGTTTACACAAGTACATAGGTTCAAGCTCTCTTTTAGGGAGTACAAGTGAATGATTTAGTACAAATGACATTAGGAAATATTGTGGGAGAATGATCTCGTAACCACGAAACTTCTAAGTACCGGAGTGTGGTATCGTCTTGACTTTCCTTATCTGTCTCATAGGTAGATGTGGCATCTTCTCTGGAAGTACTCTTCCTCCATCCAGGGGTGGTATCTGTAACTGGTGGAGATGCACAAGGTAATGTATCAATGTCACTTGAAGCTTACTTGTAGTTTCAGGCTTGGTCAAGCGTGATACAAACCATGTAGTAGGAGTCCCCCAAGTCGCCGAGCTAGGGGATCTGCTGAAAGAGGTAACAGACAAGGTAAGCAATCAGAGCTCCGGCTGATTGTTCACATTCTCCCTATCTTGCAGGCAGCATGAAGGATAAAGAGAAGAAAAATGAGAAGAGATGATATGGGATACTTTTGCTTTTGAAGAAGTAACTTTCCACAGGCTTATTCTTGAACTGGGCTGGAGGGTTTTCTGGTTTCCTTCAGAGTATAAGGCCGACTGAAGAATTTGAGGGTCAAAACAAGTCCATCAAATCTAGAGTACGTTCGACCCTGCTGATATGGGATACTTTTGCTTTTGACAGAGTAGTGGATGTATCGGCACGTGTGCTGTTACGCTTGTCTCCATATGCTTCCTTGTATCCTTCTCACTTGCCCTATCTGTTCCTTAGGCAGATGCGGTATCTTCCCTGGAAGCATAAGATGTTGAAGATGAGTACTCGAGAGCAATGCCAGGTAAGTAATCAGGTAAGGGGTTCCAGGCAGTTAGTTCCTGGCTGGAAGCTTGATTCCAAGTGCTGACTGATTGCTCTCTTTCTCCTTGTCTTGCAGGTAAGAACAAGGCCAAAGGAAAAGACAGGGAAAAAGCATGATATGGGATACTCTTGCTTTTAACCCTGATGATATGAGATATTCTTGCTCTAGTATAGCTTGTTTACAGAGGTATTATCGGGGGGAAAGAAAGCTGAATATTTCGAAAAGCTTCGTTGGGAGTGCCCTCTCAGATAAGAGGAATGGTTGAGCATTTTTGCAGGTCTGCCTGTCCGTTGGGGATGGAGGTCGACATATATAGGAGTCTCCCTAACATCAAGTAATAATGCTATTCCTTTACCCTGCTTGGTCATAGCACGGTAGTGGGAGCTGTCAGCTTCACAAGTTTTAACTCTGTCAGAGCACTTTGAAAAAGTGGTCTGTGGTATCTGGAAAGCTGATGTTGCGTGTGAAGATTACAGACAAGATTTATCCAAGGAGATCCAGCTCTTGAAGTTGGGAAAGTGGTGCCTCTTCGGTTTTCGAACAAGCAATCCTGTCGGGGATCTGGCTCTCGAGATTCGGAGAACGATGCCTCTTCGATTTTTGAGAAAGCAATCCTGCTGGGGGTCTGGCTCTCGAGATTCGGAGAACGGTGTCTTCGATTTTTGAGAAAGTAATCATGTTGGGAGTCTGGCTCTCGAGATTCAGAGGGCGGTGCCTCTTCGATTTTGGAGCAAGCAATCTTGTTGGGAGTGTTTTCTCGAATGTGAGTAAAGGTTGGGCATGTTTGCTAGTCTACCTTGCCACGAAGCACAGAAGTTGACACACAGGGACTTTCCAATTATCCAGCAGTGGTACTGTTCATTTACCCTCTCTTCGATTTTTTAGAAAGTAATCATGTTAGGAGTCTGGCTCTCGAGATTCGGAGGGCGGTGCCTCTTCTATTTTGGAGCAAGCAATCTTGTTGGGGGTGTTTTCTCGAATGTGAGTAAAGGTTGGGCATGTTTACTAGTCTACCTTGCCACGAAGCACAGAGGTTGACACACAGGGACTTTCCAATTATCCAGCAGTGGTACTGTTCATTTACCCTCTCTTCGATTTTTGAGAAAGTAATCATGTTGGGAGTCTAGCTCTCGAGATTCGGAGGGCGATGCCTCTTCGATTTTGGGGCAAGAAATCTTGTTGGATTGTTTTCTCGAATGTGAGTAAAGGTTGGGTATGTTTGCTAGTCTACCTTGCCACGAAGCACAGAGGTTGACACACCGAGACTTTCCAATTATCCAGCAGTGGTACTGTTCCTTTACCCTTGTGGGTAATAATATGGTAGCTAGGCCTTCAAAATTTATGTGTCTAAACTTTGTTAGTGTTGTTTCTTTGCTATTCTTTTACCCTTCTTGGTCAGATCGATGTAGTGAGAGCTACAAGCTTCACGTGTCTCAACTTTGTTAGAGAACTTTGGCAAAGTTATATGTGGTACCTATGAGCTACTGTTGCGTGTGGGAAGTGGGTGATTGAACAGTACGATTCATGTGCTTTCTACTTCGCCAGAAATCTTCGACCTAATGCCCATAATTTCCGAAAAGTTGAGTGTGCGTGTGACAGGTGTTGAGAAGGCTGGAAAAGTAGTCTCAACTTTGTCAGAGAACTTTGGCAAAGTTATATGTGGTACCCATGAGCTACTGTTGCGTGTGGGAAGTGGGTGATTGAACCGTACGATTCATGTGCTTTCTACTTCGCCAGAAATCTTCGACAGAATGTTCAAAGCTGAGTGTGCGTGTGACAGGTGCTGACAAGGCTGGAAAAGTAGGTGCCTCGATTTCTGAGATCGGCCCTCGTGGTCTCTGAGCAGCCCAGCTTTTGAGAAAGCAAACCTCTTCGATTTCTGAGATCGGCCCTCGTGGTCTCTGAGCAACCCAGCTTTTGAGAAAGCAAACCTCTTCGATTTCTGAGATCGGCCTTCGTGGTCTTTGAGCAGCCCAGCTTTTGAGAAAGCAAACGCCTCTTCGGTTTCTGAGATCGACCCTCGTGGTCTCTGAGCAGCCCAGCTTTTGAGAAAGCAAACGCCTCTTCGATTTCTGAGCAGGCGCCTCTTCGATTTCTGAGCAGGCGCCTCTTCGATTTCTGAAGCTTCGTCGAGTGCAGATTTTTATAAGGGCTGACATTAAGTTCCAAAGCACACTTGAATATCCACCAGTAGAAGCTCCATTCTTGCACTTCTAAGATCTTGATTTGTCCGACCTCTTCTCTCTTCAACACCTTTGAAAATGTCTGGCCCCTCCGACCGTCGTTTTGACTTGAACCTTGTTGAAGAGGCAGCCCCGCCTTCTCCAGACAACATATGGCGCCCATCCTTCGTCTCCCCTACTGGTCCTCTTACCGTTGGGGATTCCGTGATGAAGAATGATATGACCGCT